TGAAAAATTAGAACAAGTTGACAAAGAAATTTTAAGATATGTAAGCCATAATAGGAACACAGTGTACGGGATGTGGTCTAATGCAAGGAATGAAAGTTAAAAGCAAAAATCGTTGTGTATCAGAGTGTACTCCTGCCTACTTTATTACATGGAAGTAAGAGTTGTATATTATATGAATTACATAAAGCAAGCTGAGTGCAATGGGAATGGACCACTTAAGAGACACTTGTGGTAAAATAAAAAAGGTCAAAAATGAATGACTGATGAATGAATAAAAATTGATAAACAGCATGACATCTACAGTCATACCTTTTTTATTGAAAAGTTTTATACAAATTTATTATTACAATACAATAACTTTCCCTCCCCCCCCACCCCAATCCTCCCTCCCCCTCACTTCCCAGAGCTGATTACAGGGTTAAAAAAATAAGCAAACAAATTTTAACTAAGCTTATCCAACTATACCAATAACCAAATCCCTAAAATACTTTAACTTAAATACAAACAACTCCCAGTTTAAACTATAAGTTAATCAAAAACTAAATGATACTTTCTAATCCCATATTTATTCTGAACAAAATTTATCCATCTTGTCCACACCGAGATGTATCTTTCTTGTGAATGATCTTTCAAATAGGCAGAAATTTTGGCCATTTCTGCTAAATTAGAAACTTTAAACGACCATTCTTCTATGGTAGGCAAAGAATCTTTCCTCCAATATTGCCCAACCAATAACCTTGCCGCTGTAATAAGATTCAACATTAAAATAGTTTCTTTAACATCACAATCATCAATAATACCTAACAAAAATAATTGTGGTGTAAACTTTATCTTTCTATTAAAAATCTTCTGAATGTTCCACCAAATCTTAATCCCAAAAGCTTTTATATTTCTACACATCCACCAAATATGATAATAGGTTGCATCTAAGTAAACCACATCTCCAACACTTAGGCTGTAAATTAGGATACATGTGAGACAATTTTTGTGGATCCAAATGCCACCTATAAAACATTTTATCAAAATTTTCTCGTAAACTTTGAGCCTGAGTAAACTTCACATTCCCAACCCAGATTGCCTCCCATGTATCTAGTAAAATCCCAACCCAGATTGCCTCCCATGTATCTAGTAAAAGGCTCTTGAAAATTTTGGGCCCAGTTTATCATACAATCTTTGACTAATTCCGTCTCTGAATCCAATTCCACTAATACATTATAAACTCTCTTTATATTAGCTCGACTTTGATCTCTAATTTGTTTTATCAAATTCTCATCTTCTAAAGTAATACCAACTTTTTGGTCTAAACTCCATCTATCTAACAATTGTCTATGCTGAAACCAAGAGTAAACAATATTATCTTGCCATAATTCATCTAACAATTTTAACTGCCAATCCTTCCCTTCCAATTTAAGCAATTGGTTATAAGAAGTCCTATCCAACTTCACACCTCTCGATATCCCCTCTACTGCGTGTCCAGGAATCCCCCAAATTGGCGTTTTATAATTTAATCTACAGTCATACCTTGGTACTCATCGTTAATGGATTCTGAGAGGCACGATGAGTACCAAACAAATTTTTCCCATAAGGAATAATGCACTGAATCACCAGGCAGCTGACACTGACAAGTTGTAGTTTGTGCGGTGAATACCAATCAAATTATGAGTACTGGGACAAAAGTTTCTGTCAAAATAGAAAATTGTGTTGAGTACCAAATTTGACGAGTTTCAAAGCAGTTGAGTACCAAAGTACCACACTGTATATGATTTGGTCATACAAAGAGAATGGATTTCTTAAGAAGTATATGAAGGAAGAATGAATAGTTTGAGAAGAAAGGCAAGACCAAGAAAGTAGTTGAATGAAAATTCTCTCAAAGGGAGAGAAATGAAAAGTTTATAGAGAATAAAAGGCAACTTATGAAGCAATGTGTGAAAGTGAAGATATTTGAAAAAGAATGAAAAGGTATAGAGAAAGGTATTGGTGTGAACTATCGTTAATTTCCTTTCCTATTCTCTTTTCTACTGAATTTATTAACTTTTATTACATGTATTAAATATTTTATTGAATATTTAATTCACTTTAATGTTAAATACTTTTCTCACTCTTTGTCAGCATATGGTACAACATTCTGGCCTTGAAAGAGAATAATGCATATGGACCTCTTGTTTGTGTGTGTGTAGAGAGAGGGAGAGGGAGAGGGAGGGAAGGAGGAAGAGAAAGATCACTGTCAAATAATGCTGAATTATAATTCAACTTTTTTTTCTAGCAGAAATTCAGTGCAAGTTTTTCCTGTTAGAATGGAGTGATAAGAGAAGTTAATCTGCTTCATTTCAGGATATTAATTATTTTTTAAAAAGTACAAGAAGCCTTTCAAACAACAACATACACAATTTGAATTATATGTTATTAATGCACTAGATTCTCCACAGTAATACCAGATTTTAAGAGGTGTGATTAAAATGATTAAGACGGTGCTTTAATTTATGTGAGAAAGGAGTAAATGCAGTATTACATCTTGAATTGTAGTAGGGAAGGCCTGAGAAGAAGAGCTATAGAACAATGCTGGGCATTCAGAAGAAACTTAGCAATAAGTATGTTTCTTCAGCCTTATCGCTCCAATTAATTTGGATTATTTATTTTTATTTTATTTATTACATTTATACACTTCCTGTAACATCGGACAGAATGGGAAACTGTCATAATAGTTTATTTTTTTATTAGATTTTTATCCTGCCGTTGTAACTTTATAAATAATTTAAGGTGGCAAACATACGTATTACTCCTTCCTTCTTCTGTTTTCCCCATACAACAACAGCCCTATGAGCTGGGTTGTTTGAGAGAAAGTGACTGTTAGTGGGCTGTACTCATCCTGATGAGCCTTAATGGAGGAGAACCGCTTTCATGTTGGAACTTGAGGTTCACTTTCAGAAGCTTGTCTAAAAACAAACCTGTGATAGTTTTTACAATAGGGAAAAAGCTTATGGACAAAGAAAATGAGATGCTTGCTGTTTGCCATGAGGGGAGAGCCATTTTAGATTTATTTCATTTGGAGGAAAAAAGCAATGTGCTGTAGTGAACTAATACTGACAGGGTTCACGCATCACACAAACACATGGCTATATAAATGATATTGTAGGTTACCCATAAATAGTGAATTTACATATGCTAACCAATAAACTGGATTTTATAAACCATGATAGATGGGAGTTACATCATATATTTAGCTAAGAACAATTAGCTATCAATATGACAGTGATAATTTAAAGCAATAATGATGATTGGACACTATATGCAAAATACTGGCTTTGCATCTGGTTCTCTAAAGGTATGAAGACGATTTTTTTTCTGTTGTATGCCAATAAGAAATAAAGAAAACAAGGGTCATATAAATTTGAGTATTATGTCAAGGAAAGTTTTTTTGTTCCACTTGATGTGGCACAATAATAGAAGTAAATTATTATTATTTTTTTAAAAAAGTAACTAGCTATATCCTGCTATGGATAAAATAAAGTTGCAGAAATGAATTTCATCCTTACCCCACTTAAAATAGGTCCTTTTTTGTAATGTGTAATCTGAAATGTGAGATCCTCAGGGTAGTGGGTGGGCTACAAATATGTTTAATAAATAGGTAATAAATAGATATGAAATATTTTAAAATTGACAGATCATGATTTCAGGGCAAGGAACAGATATATCAGATTCGTTCTAAAATAAATTTAAAATAAAAATGATGGCACAGGATTTGGCGAACCTGCTTTTGGTGTTTCAGCTTTCATGTTAAAACCTGTTTTAAGATTTTGCTTTGTGTTTTGTTAAATCAGGAGATCCCATCCTGTCCTTGGCTAAATGGGAGTAAATTATTCAAGTCACTCAGTAGAGTTTCAGAGTAACGCTGGTTTGTCATGTTTGGCCTGAAGAGTTAGACATTACAGTCAGAAATCATGAACTCTGCTTTCTTTTCCACATCAACCTTGAAACCAGAAGAAGTTGTAGAACTTGTTTCAAAGGTGTTGGCGTGGCCCAGGGCTGTCTCTGAAGTCAGGGTACTTTGAGTGAAATGGCAAAGCAGGGAATAAATGAACAATGAATCTATATATAATTACCTTATTATAAGTGGGTTTGAGTGGTTAATTATTTACACTTCTGTATCCAGTCTGACAGTGGAATAGATGAGCAGATTAAGCAGCCATTTATAGTCCTTTGATCTATACTGATCTGTGGGGGAGTGGTACTAGGAAGGAAAGTAAATATTTAATTCATTGTTTATCCTGTGTTTTCATATCATAAGAAAAGTAGTACATTTTCTTGTGAGAAACGCTGCAACTTCTTCTATCGTATTTCTACCAAATACTTTGAATGAACAAAAAAGAATTATCTTCAACTCTAAATGTAGTTTATTAAATATGTTATAGTTGTGCACTTTGTTGGATTCCAGGTAGCCTACAAAATCCAGAAGACAATAAAAACAAACATGCACATAAATATAGCAGGGGCCCTGAAAATACATAAACACATGAACCCCAGACCTGGGAACAAAGCCAATTCTTAAAGACCTTCTAGAACCTCAGGAAAATGGGCACCATTTGCATCTCCAGCGGGACATTATTAGTTATTTGTTTATATATCTTAACTGCTTGATCGCACTGCAATTTTGACTATATACCCCACTTTCATGATGTACTGGACTAACTTTTATAATCCATGGCTAAGTGTCTCTCAACCTTGGCAACTTGAAGACATGTAGACTAAAACCCCCAGAATTTCATAATCAATATTGGGAATTCTGGGAGCTGAAATCCACACATCTCAAAGTTGCCAAGGTAAAAGAAACACTGATTTAATTTATGCTGGCAAAGGATTGTGGCAAATAATCAAATACATCTGGAGAGAGAGAGAGAGAGAGAGAGAGAGAGAGAGAGAGAGACCCCAAAAACATATATTTATGTGTTGAAGGATGAACATTTTAAAAGTATACTTTTTAAAAATCCTTTCTTTATCTTTAGGATTACGACTCATTTTTTGAATCCAAGGAAAGCAATACTGTCTTTGCATTTCTTCGCTTGAAGTCTAATTTGGCCTCACAGGTGAATACTTTATAAACTAAAGTTTAATGTGTTGGCATTTGGTGTTTCAATGTATTTTACCTTTCTTGTGTAATCAGAGTGAAATAGGGAAGCAGCATAAGCAATTTTAGGCACCTGAACCAGGAACCTCCGTACTTGTATATGGCTGTCATTCATGAAGAAGTGGAGGCAATTAAAATGTTGCCATATCTGGGCTGCAAAAATCTAGACAGCCACTAGATGGGAGCAAAGCATTAAAAGTTTTCTGTACCTTTTTGATACCATATATTGGGTATCCACACACAATAGCCCTATTTAATTATGTCTGAGTAATTCAGCTGATTTTCATTTGGCTTTTTCGGGAGGGTTAATTCTAATAGATTCTCAAATAAATTTGGCCCTTTGTCACATGGAAAAGATATATTTCTTGTTGGTATTTGTTATGACCTTATTGATCTCAGTGGGAAAATAGTGTAACTTTTCCCTGACTAGATCTCTCTAGTCTAGATAAATGATCTGGAATCTCCATAAGAAGAAAAATAACCTGAGAGGAATAGTTGTGTTGGCTGTCCTTGAAATTTTGAGAGAGACTTAGTGGCAAATGTTTTACATATATATTTTTATGAAGAGAAATGCTAAATGGCTACCTGGTCCCTTATTTATCTGACGTTTTCTCTATATCACTCTGCTGAATATTCAGCATGTATTTATTAGAAAAAAGACTTCTTGTGTAACAAGGCCAGTTTTAAAGATAATTTTCTTAAGGGAGCATTGCGACAGTGCTGGCTTTTAAAGAAGAACTTTGTGATTACTTGGTTTGGAGGGTGTGTGCTTATAATGATATATGTGAGAAAGATCTTGAGAGACAGAGTAAAGAAATTCTGCCTAGGGAACAGTCAAATAAGAGGAGGCATAGTCCACAGTTGTACAGTGGATGGAGAAAGAGGCCCAGAATACCTCTTTAGCTTCTTAGGCTGTAAAGGAGACAGCAGGAGATACGTACTTTCAGAGTTGCAAGATTTTGTTAATGTAACTTTATAATAAATAGAATAGGTCATCTTGTTGTATTTCCTGTCTGGTTTACCTGGGAAACCGTGCTTTATTAAATAGAACAAAAAGCAAAATAACAAATAACAAAAACAGAAAAGGCTAAAATATGAGCTGTGCTTGATTTTTTGGCAACTGTTTGTTACGTTGTATTTTTAATTTTCAATATTTTTAAATTTAGTTATAACTAAACTATTTAGTTATAACTAACTTTTGCTAAACCATTGCTATAATTATGCTTTTTTAATTGTTTATTTTAATCCCAAAGATGCCTTTTCACAAGGCAACTGGACTTTTTTGTTTTTGTAATAGTGGCAAATATCTGTAGCTCAGGTGTAGGATGAGGATGAAGGTTCATTCTCCAAGCTTGTGGGTTGGTTTCTGAATGTTTTGTTATCAGGCTAGGTAACATCTTCAGCAGTGTTTAGGGGAGTTGAAATAGTTCCAAGAGGGCTCCACAGCCACTTGCACTACTCAGGTGACTCTGATGATACAGATAAACTACCAGGAGGCCTCAATGACTCTAAAACAGTGGTTCTCAACCTTTTTAGTGCCGCGACCCCCAACCGGTCGTAAGTCAAGGACTACTCAACCGGTCGTAAGTCGAGGACTACTCAACTGGTGCAGCACCGTTTGCAGAATGGGACTTTTGGCGGGCTCAGCAGGGCAGAGACAGCCTGGACAATTCCTATTGGCTTTTGAAAGCCAATAGAATTAGACTCTATTCAAGAGAGTCTATTCTATTGGCTTTCAAAAGCCAATAGAATAAAAGGGAGTAGCACAGCTAAGGAAAAGGGGAAAAAAATGGCGGACTGCGTTGTTTGGCGACCCCCGTGAAATGGTCGTTCGACCCCAAATGGGGTCCCGACCCACAGGTTGAGAACCACTGCTCTAAAACAATGCAAATGACCAGCTGTCTGCAAGGTGTATAAATCCTTTTATTCTTCACCATCTAGTCAGAGCTGAAGAAGCTTCTTGGATGAGAAGCGAAATGTCTTCAAAGAAAAACAAGAAAGTCCAATTGCCTTGTCAAAAAGCATCCTTGGGACAACCATGACCTGGATGACCGAGAATCTCCATAGACATGTTTATTTTGATTTTTATTGTTTCACTAATTTATGTTGTACACATTAAATTATTTTTATAAGCTTCAACTGTTTGTTTAACAGTTAAACAAAAGCTATAAGCTTCAAAAGGCTGTATTAATTTATATACATTTTTTTTAAAAAAAAAATAGGAATCAGAACCTTAGGAAAACTGCTTGAAGAATAAAAAAAAAAACACATTGTCCGGCCGAATGAATTCCTCGATGTTCAGCCCGCTATACCTTCCCTCGTGGATCACTGTGATACCAGCCAATATGCACCATTGGTATTTTGCTTGCTGCTGAAGAGGTGTGAAATAAGACAACAGATATAAAAACGGGGTGATTTGTTGTGTTGGGTGCTCTTCTATCTTTGCAAATATATCTGTAGTTAATCCTGTGGATCGTTGTTCTGATATGCACTATTCCATTCAAATGATGACCTAAGGTTCTCAAGAATGGCAAATGGCAGCAGAATCAGATCACCCATTATATAGTATCAGAGATTCAAGTGTTTACACTTTGCTGAGTTGAGAATTACTGCAGGGATGACATTGTTCTGTGTTTACAAACATCTTGAGCTTGCAAAGTTCTCATTTTTCAAAATACCAAAAAAAATAATAATTCTCTTTGCAAGCATCTCACTGCTGTGCTATATGTGCTAATGTGTTTATTGTCATAAATGGGCCTAATATATATTCCTGGGAGAAGCAAGGGCATCAAAATATGGCTGGGATTCAGCAGTACAGTGTATAAGCCTTTCTACATAAATGCCCAACTCGAGTAAGGATGTTTTTGCTTTGATGGCCATTCAAGAATGATCACTTTGTATGACCCAAGAGAAACTAACTTCTGGTGTTCAAGAACAATCCCAAATCAATTGATCAGCAAAACTAGCAAAGAAAAAGTATCAGCCATCTGTGACATTCTGAACAATATTGCCAAATTTTATATTTCCATATGATAGACTGCCTTCTGCCTTCAATTTCAAGCATTTGTAACAGTTAACGCTGTCAATTGTAGAGTTAAGTTCAAAACATGGAGTGGTCCATACAGGGTGAGCAACGTCTGAACAAGATGAAAACCATGTTCAATCACTTTAATGGGGAAAAGGGCAGGGATTCTTCAAGAAAGGAACTTTTTCTGCCTATAAAATGTGGTATTTCATATGATTGGGTTAGGTCACAGGTCGGCAACCTGCGGCTCCGGAGCCGCATGCGGCTCTTTGAGCCTTCCCCTGTGGCTCCCAGCCTCCTCTGCCTTTGCAGAGAGAGACAGAGACAGAGAGAGGCAATTGCGCTTCCCTGCTTCCTTCTCTCTCTCTCTCTCTCTCTCTCTCTCTCCCTCTCCCTCTCTCTCTCTCTCTCTCTCTCTCTCTCTCTGTGTGTGTGTGTGTGTGTGTGTGTGTGTGTGTGTGTGTAAAAGATTGCACTCACTGTTCTCCGAGGAGCTGAAAAGCTTTCTGGGCGGAGCTCCTCCCTTTGCTGCGTCTCTGCAGGAAGCAGGAAGGGCAGGAGAGAGCTAGATAGCCCAGCTAGGCTGACTCAGGAATTCTGGGAGTTGAAGTCCATGAGTCATAAAAGAGAGGAGGTTGCTTACCCTGAACTTGTTGGACAACAGCTTGAAGCTTGCCAGGTGAGCAGCAGATAGGAGAGAGAGAGAGAGAGAGAGAGAGGGAGAGAGAGAGAGAGAGAGAGAGGAAAGAGAGAGAGAGAAAGAGAGTGGGGGAAGAGGAGTGGCAGGCAGACCAAGGGCAGATAGAGAGGGAGGGAGAGAGAGAGAGAGAGGCAGAGAGAGAGAGAGAGAGACCCTTTTGACATCTAAAATGAAGATAACACTGCATATATCCTTTTTTTACCTGTATGTGTATGTATGTGTGTGTGTGTGTATACATACATACACACACACACACACACACACATATATATACACACACACACACACACACACACACACAAACACACACACACCTATAATAAAGGTAAAAAAGAATATATGCAGTGTTATCTTCATTTTAGATATCAAAAGGATTTTGCGGCTCCCGGTGTTTTGTTTTTGGTGGGAAACGGGTCCAAGTGGCTCTTTGAGTGTTTTGGGTTGCCTACCCCTGGGTTAGGTGAAGACAATTTGGTATCTTCCACTTATAAGGCACATAAGAACAGACAACCCAGTGGTATACATCTCTAAATGGGTGGGACTACAGAAACTAGGACATTCCTATTTAATTAAATTTAGCCCCTGACAAGTGCACACATCTTATTTAGGTTCTCAGACTCTTATAAAAGCATCACACCTCTTCATCAGTACAGCTAGTTTTGGAAATCAGCTGCCTTCTTGTCAAAGGCACTCTGGAGTTTTTGCCTGCTTGCTTTGGTTTAAAATTGGGCAGCTTCTGTTTGGACATAGCTACCATTCCCCCAAGGATTTATTTATAATTCTTTAAAAATGACAGCTGACTGCATCAAAACTGTTTGGAAATGGAAGTATGCAGAATAAGAAAAGGAAAGGGAAATTGTGAGAGCAGAGGGGTCCTGATGGCATGGCAGAAAGCAACTTCCTGTGTCTTGACAAACGTGTATGTTTTGCGATTGATCACACCACAGTAGCATCCACTGTGTGACTAGAGAAGCTCCTTCATCACAGACACTTTGTAGTAAGAGCACCCGGGACATGTTTCGTTTTGAAAAATCCAAATGTTTCCCATCCCAGTCTTGCATTCTAGAACAACATGTAATCTTTGGGACTAAATGACTTGATGAAGTATGTTAACTTTATTGTATACATAGAGTTTCCCACCTGTTAGAGTTTTGTCTTCTCTTTCATCAAGATGTCTTCTCTATGAGCCTCTTGATTAAGGCAATAAATCCAGGTATTCTGTTTAAGTAGATCTGGGGTACAAATACCTGGATGACCAATCAATCAGGGGTCCCCAATCCTTGGGCTATGGACCAGTACTGGTCCATGGCTTGTTAGGAACTGGGCTGCACAGCTGGAGGTGAGTAGTGGGCGAGTGAGTGAAACAAAACAATACCCCCCCTCCGGGCCCATGGAAAAGTTGTCTTCCGTGAAACTGGTCCCTGGTGCCAAAAAGGTTGGGGAGTGCTGCAATAGATGTTAGGGAAAGGCAGCAGCCACCAAAACCTCGCCCTTAGTTGCCAGGTTGTGATTTTTCAGCCCAGATCAGTTAGCTGCATCCGGGTGAAAGCTTATATTTAAAAGTGAAAACAGGTGAGCATCGTCTATATTCAGTTACTCACTCAAAGCTCAGGGAAGTTTCTGAAGTAGTTGTTATGAACAGGCATTCCAAGGGAGTGGGCAACTTTTAAGAAACCACTGTGTTATCCATTCTACTGTATACATGCAAACCCTTTAAGGTAGGATGAGATTTTAGCTAATTTTAATTGTAAGATGATGTAAATTTCAATTTTCTTTTTGGATTTTTTGGAAGAGGGCGTGTATTATTAGAATGCAGTTGCAAAAAGTGTCCTGTTTTCATGTCTAAATCAGATCACTTAAGCTCACTAGTGAATGCTATTCTGTATGTAATTAAATGTTTGGCTTTTTTAAATTAAAAAATCGGTCAGTCTTTCATTTCTGCTTACTATTAAATTTCTCGTCCTTTTTTTGTTTTAAAATGATTAATTATTACAATGCATCTATCATCTGTTCCTTAAAGTTATCCTTTGGTGAGGCTTCATTCAGGCATTCTAAATTCTGGAGCACTTCCCATGTGTTAGAAACTCTTCTTACACATTTCTATTATGTCATGGGTGGGGTAGAAGATGACCTAGTTGTTTTGGTTGGTATCTTGCCTTTCTCAGGGAGAACAATATTCCTTACATGGGGAATCAAAATGACTTTGCAGATAATAAATAGAAAAATAGGGTTAACATTGGAGTGTGTGTGTACAGGCGTGATATCAAAAACACTCCAAAGGCTGCATCAAATCTCAGTTGCCGGTGGAACTGCATGGATGCAGGAGTTGAGTTTGACTTCAGTGTGTCTTTCTCTTTCTTTTCTCTCCAGCGGTATCCAGAATCATTTCATGAAATTCCCAGCTAGCATGACTTTATGACTAGGAAGGATGAGAATTAAAATTCAGCATATCTGAGAGTATCATTTGGAGAAGGTTGCCTTAAAATAGTTGCTAAAAATAATTACTGCTAAATGGAAGGGTGGAGGGAATCCCATAGGAGAAAGACAGGGGGATTTGAATAAATTAGCCGTCAGGAAGTGTCTTCTGTGAGATAGTTTTGTCAAAACAGATTAAAATTGGCTGCTATTATTATAAAAAGCATTAGGTTGTCTAATTTATTCCATGAAACAAATTTAAAGCATCCATCTTAACAAATATTAAGTTTAATCAATGCAAAATATTTATGTTCTTTATTCCTCATGGACGTTTTCAAATATAGCTGATTTTTTCCCCCTTTTCTCATTTTCCTTTGAAATTTAAATGATCAACCCAGTCTTTAGTCATCACATGTGCTCTCTGCTGGTCAATTGCAATGCTTCAACAAGCTTCAACTGATGCAAAATGCACCCATTAAACTAGGGGTGGTGTCTAGTATTCGGATCCAAGTCCAATATGGAAAGATTTGCACTGATTGCCAACTCTTTCTGAAATCATTTCGGGGATCAAGATATTAAGATATATCAAAGATCAACCCCAGTATTGAAGCCTTCAAGCGAAGCCTTCCTTCTTTAGCAGATTTCCCCAACATAGAAGGAGAATATTCCTGAATAGGTGAGAAAAAACGATGTTCTCCTACATCAGTGGTTCTTAACCTTTTTGAACGAATCTCCCCCTTGAGCCAATGAGGAAGTTGTCATCGCCCCCCTCCCCCAACATAACCTCTCAATCACAACATAGGAAATAATTCTTCAATTTATGCAAACACTTTTTTTGTTTTCTTTAAAACTGTCATCAGGACATATCAATGCAAATAATTTATTTCCAGTCTTTTCCCCATATCTCCCATATTCTGGCCAATGGCGCGCCATTGTATGGGTAGAGGCTGCTGCACAACACGCATGAAGATAAGCGATGCGTATTCACATATGCACAGCGTTCTGTACTGAAGCTAGCTGGAGGAACATTTGAAAACACAATCTACTAATAGCGATCATCTGATGTTTTTGTACGACAGATATACAGCAATTCACTGTATGAAAAAATCTCAAAAGTGTCCCCAAAACTTCTCACTCCATCGCCCCCATATCGCCCCCTTTTCGTTCCTTTGCCCCCACGTCGCCCCTTTTCGTTCCATCACCCCCTTGAAAAACAAAATCGCCCCCTGGGGGGAAATATCGCCCAGGTTAAGAACCACTGTCCTACATCACAAATGTGAAGCTTTTTATCCTACAATTACAGGATTTCTATATGCAGTTTAAAGACTGAATTCCATTTATTTTGTATTTCAGAAAGGATGTGAACACATCTCTTTGTTTTGAATTTGTCCTGCTTAAATTGTTAGCAGCAGAAGGGGGGGGGGC